TGCAAAGAAATACAAACACATTAATTTAATTGTATATATCCATATAATGATGACAAGGAATGATGGGTTTTTACCTCTGAATGAATTCCAGAGTGCAGGCTGCCTCATCTTGATACTGAAGGTTGAATATGTAGTAGATAGCAAAGACAGCAGCAAGTCCCGTTGCAAATGTTGGTGTGATGCCCTCAGAGATTACACGGCCCTCAAAGGTGATCATCCAACCTTTAATTGTGACTTGCCCTGTTGCACCTGAAACTTCAAGTCATAGCAACATGGGAATGCATGTTACCTTGTGTAAATATTTGTAGCTCAAGATGAATGGCCGATATGTCTTTATCAATGAATCTAAATGAAATGTAAAAAAAAACTTTAATAATCCATCCATTACCTATACTGCTTAGTCCCAAACAGGGTCGTGGGGAAGTCCAATCCTTAATCTTTAAGGACAGAGATTTAGACTTAGATGCTTAGACAGAATGAACAATATGAAAAAGATTTCCTTTGTTTTTTCTTCTCTTTTCTTCCTCTTGTTTGTTTTTGTTTTCATTATCTAAATGGTGTAAAATCTAGCCAGTCAGACTTGAATTTATGAAAAAAGTTACTCAATCAAACAAATCACTATAATACAATAAATTTTAAGACACTGGCAAGACACATCCTCCCTTCAGAATAAGACAACAGTCTTAGGTTAACTCCTAGTTGAACTTAAATGGTTATTTTAAAACAGAAAGAGATTACTCTGAGTTCTTTCAGATTTGATCTGATCAAGTGTCTGCCAATATTCTGCTGACTGTTTTATACAAAGTGACCTTAAAAGGTAAAACTAAACATATACAAGAACATTCCTGTCCTGGGACAAGTGAACATATTCCCTTCTGGTTCACATAGCTTTTCTTCAGTCTTCTATAGCATAAATACCCACATTTTTCAAATGGTGAGTAGCATATTTAGTAGACAGGAAAACATGTATATAATCTAGGACAAAAATTGGGAACTAACCGTGGCTGTGTTGATGTGAACAGGATAGTGATCGCTTACTGGCCAATGAAATGCAATTCAAAGTCTATGAGATTTTTCAGAAGAGTGGACACATGGGGTTTGACTGTGACAGACTTCTTCTGAACAACCTTCCCTGTCCTCTTGGACACTATCTTACCCCGTCTGGCCTTGGTCCCTCTTTCTGGGTTGATTCCAATGAATCGCCTGAAAAACATATTATTCCAAGATTAGAGGCTGAAAAGAAAAAAAGTCTGCTATTATATGACATAGAGCTTGTACATATGATCAAAATATTTGTAATGGAATACCATAATATCAATGTTGTGAAGATATTGTTGGGATGACTACTGGTGCTTATATATTTACTTAAAAAATCATAAGCAAATTGGATATGATGACCAAGCAGCTAGAGACAATTAAAGAGAACAGCAGACCTTTTTCAGAGCAGCCATTTTGACATGAAATAGCAGGTAAACACAGGTATTACTACTGACATTAGTTGTGGCTCTGTTCTATTTATGTGCAGCAATTTTTTCAGCGAGTTAGTATTACTATACCAGGACCCTGGCTCGGTTAGACATTAATGGGATTGAAGTTTAATATCAATAACACCTGTGTTTACCCTACAATTTCATGTCAAAATGACTGCTGGGAAACAAGTCTGTTGGACAACACAAACTTTACCTTTGAATAAATTCTAGTGTACAGGCAGCCTCCTCTTGATACTGCAGATTAAATATGTAGTACACTGAAAACAGAGCAGCAAGCCCTGTCACAAATGTTGGTTGGATGCCCTCACATAGGACCTCACCCTCAAGGCAGATCATCCAGCGTCCTGCAGTGACATGCTCTGTTCCACCTGAAACATAAAATAGTAATTTCAGAGAGCATCTTAACTTGTATATCTTTACATGTGCATGCTTTGCTGGGATATAAATAAATGTGAAAGCTCATCAGATATAACAAACAATGTAATTTCAATGAATACTTACTGAGCAGTATTAGACGAGGAGTTGGTGGTAGCATGAGGGTCCTTTCAACATCAGCCACTGTGGCAGACGACTATAGGGAAAAGACAGTAGAATTGTAGTGATAATGTTCATGATATGAATTTAAGATGGCAACAATTCAAGGCAATACAAATTACGAAAGAAAGAGAAAACAACCTTACATCTGCAAGAAGGATGAGCCCATCTGTGGTCTCTGTGAAGTGGGCCATCAGCAACTGGACCACATGAAGTGCCACCTCAGTGTCCTCCCCCTGGGAGAGGACAGTCTGGACATCTTTGTTGGTAGGTTTGTTGCGGAAATATTCTGTGATCACTTTCCCAGATTCCTCCATGGCAAGCTCCAGGAGTACAAAGAGATATTATTTCATCCGGCCTCACTGATAGAAATGGGTGGGCAGAATAATAAAAATACCTATTTTTCAGGTTTTGCTGCAATTTCTTCAGTCAATTCAATTATCCTCGTTCTCTTTTCAGCTGCCCATTACACTCACACACTCAGGATGCCTTCCATTCTCACGTTCTCAGAAACATATATATATATATACACACAGTGGTTACGGAAAGTATTCAGACCCCCTTAAATTTTTCACTCTTTGTTATATTGCAGCCACATGCTAAAATCATTTAAGCTTAAATACTGAGCAAAGGGTCTGAATACTTATGACCATGTGATATTTCAGTTTTTCTTTTTTAATAAATCTGCAAAAATGTCAAACATTCTGTGTTTTTCTGTCAATATGGGGTGCTGTGTGTACATTAATGAGGAAAAAAATGAACTTAAATGATTTTAGCATATGGCTGCAATATAACAAAGAGTGAAAAATTTAAGGGGGTCTGAATACTTTCCGTACCCACTGTATGTTTATGTATGCTTATGTAGTTTTGTGGTTACTACCCAGATACTGTTTTAAAACCTCAAAAACCCAGCTATTTAAACTGAATATTGTTTTGATTAGTTTTGTCCCTGGTGTCTAGGATACAGCCCCTCACCGCTACGGCCCAGGTTCGATTCCCAGTCGGGGAACCTCTAGCCACAGGGGTTTCACGCCTGTGACTTTTGTGCCAGTCCCAAGCCCGGTTAAATAGAGAGGCTTGTGTCAGGAAGGGCATCTGGCGTAAAAATGTGGCAAATTTCGAACCATGCGAATTGTCACTGTCAGGTACGCTCGGCGCGACCTGCCTTTCTTCCTCCTTTCTCTATCCCGCTCTCTTGTCCTGCGGGATTGGTGCCTCAGCTGTGTGACATTCGGTAATCAGTGACTTGTTGGGTGAAGCGCACAGCTGAGGCGCATTCCTTCCTTATTTAAATCTCTGGCAGACGCTCCGTCGTTGCCGGAGCATTATATGTGTGTATTCAGACGATACGTGAGTTTCAACGCTGACAGTCTTCTGTGCTGTTGATTCTTTTTGTTATGTTGATGCTGTGTTTTTTTTATACGTCTCTTGATTTCAATGCTGACAGTTACTGTGCTGTTGATTTCTTGTTTTTTTTGTTCACTGCTCTGCTTCCCTAACGGCGTTAGCTAATCCACCTGGTTATTGTCCACTCACCTGTCCATCCTGGTCCTCTGACTCTCCGGGTTCCAACAGTTCATCTGTCTGCTTATCTGCTCGTCTTTGTCTCCTCAGCCATCACTGCCCTACCCTGGTTGTGCCCTGTACATATACTCAGTTTCTTTGTTTGTGTCCTCAATAAATCCACCTTTTTCACTAGCACCTGGGTCTGCATCTTGAATCCTCTCTTTTTGGTTCTCCCTCACCCCCTGGTGAGGGACACCCCATCATAACAGTCAGTGTGGAAACAGATGATTTGCTGTGGTGACCTCTAAGGGGGCCAACCGAAAGAGGATTGTTTTGATTAGTTTTAAGGTCCTACAAATGAAACCCCTCAGTTCCTAATCCTAGTAGGCCTTTAATTTGAAATAATTTGCAGTGTTTAAGTGTTTAAACTTGTTACTGAACAAAATAACAGCCTTCATTTGTTTGTGTTGGTAATGCCCTTGGCTATTTTTGAGATGTAACCATAAACTGAATACTATAAAAATTTGATTAAGGTCTTGTAATGTGTTGTGCTCACTAAATGTGTTCGCTAAGTGCCATGTGGATTAATGTGAATGGTAATCAGCATTGTATCTAATCAGCAACAGAAACACACCTTTGATTTCCCCCAGGCTGCTCTGACTCAACCATCAGTCTGTGTCACTCACCTTTCATCTTCCACTGGCTGAAGATGATAAATTAGATTGTGATTGTCTGATTACTGATTTATTCCATTTATATGACATACAGCAAAGCCACAGTCATTTTAAGAGTGAACATTAATTGAGATCCGTGGAGTGTGTTCAGTTACTTGCCATAGCCACATATTACACTGATTGTAGGCTATTGCTAATTATTTGTGCTAGTGTCGTAGCTGAACTTTGAAACTGTTTTCTTCTAGGTGCTTCCTGCTGTAGCAGCTTCTGTCCAACAGCAGCCACTGACTGAGTCTGTTACCTTAAAGTCTACTAATCTGCTCTGAAGACCCCAGAGATGGCAGTGTCAGTCTGGTGGCTGGTCTGGCTGTTGCGTGATCTACCACTTAAATCTAGATGGAAATATCTAAGCGTCTATTGGATGGAATTCCTTGTAGCTTTATGCAGACATCTGTATTTTCCTCAGGATGGACTGTAATAAATCTGGTGATCCTTTGACTGTCATCCATCCATCCTTCATGTCAAATCTGTTCATTTGGTTTACTACCAAACACCTGCAAAATGATGTTACTGTTAATGTTACAGATGCTTATTTTTCTAGGACAAGCTTCTGGCAGTGTGGGGTGACAACCAGACAGTATCACACCTGATCATTGTGGAAGTATGTATCTTGATGCTGCTGTGCTGTGTTGAGCTCTGAATCTTAGCTTTTTGTCATCCTACCTCCTGTTTTATAAGCCCTCTCAGTTTTAAATTGGTAGCCTTTATTCCCTCAGTTGTGGTATCTTGGTTCCTTGGAGTTCTACCAGGATTTTATTGGATTTCAGGCCTACTCTTCAGTCTGTTTTTAACTCTGCTGCACACTATTATAGGCCTTGACTGTTTTTATCAATTAAAAAAATGCACAGGATGTCTCCAATGGAAAATCAAATTTCAGCATTCCACCTGATCCAAGGATGAGCCTTTGTGCCAGAAGTCTGTTGCAGCAAGTGCTCATGTTAGCTACAGGTAGGCTATAGCTACTGTTGGCCAGAGCTAACGTGAGCACTACACAGCTGCTCATCAGAGAGCTTCGGTGGGATCTTCTAGGACTGTCTGCCACAGTAATGTTAGATGAGACCATGTGGAACAGTGTCAGTGATCCATTCTTTCATCCATCGTCACTACCTCCTCGACAACCACTGAGCAGCAGTTTAGAGGAGCTGTTGGCCAGAGCTAATGTGAGCACTACACAGCTGCTCATCAGAGAGCTTCGGTGGGATCTTCTAGGACTGTCTGCCACAGTAATGTTAGATGAGACCATGTGGAACAGTGTCAGTGATCCATTCTTTCATCCATCGTCACTACCTCCTCGACAACCACTGAGCAGCAGTTTAGAGGAGTCTGTGTTTTTGTCCTCCATGGTTACAAACATGACAGGGTCAGAATATTAGGAACACTTCTGAATATAATGTAGTTCAGTACAACACCACCTTTAACTATGACCTCAACAATAAACATACTATTTAATTTATATGTGTATGAGAATTTCACCAAAAACAGAAACATTTTGAGCTTTAAAAACACAGCTATTGAGATCAGTGTTCCATTGAGGTTGCATACAATTGTACAGGTGTATCTAATAAAGTGGCCGGCAAGTGTAAATTAGAGTTTTGTTGATCAATATGATCAGTTGGACTACTCTTAAAATGCTATTTATTGGTATACTTCATGAAATAAAATGAATGCTAAGCATGTTGCATAATACGTCTCAGGTGGCAGTTTGGTAATTTGGAACTATTCATTCTGCATGTAATAAACAGCCTATAACAATATCTGATGCTGTTGTTGCACAGGCTAAATGGTGTTTGTTTAATGCATTTTTAATAAACAGGTGAAGCTAAAGCAGGGAGGGAAAGTGTGGAGGAAGCTGCCTGTGTCTACAGAGATGTGTGTCCAGCCATCCACTGCACAACACAGTTTCAAAGTTACTGAAACTATAAGTTATATAGAATGATTAGATGGTGATTTTTTATATTAATGATGTTTTGACAGACTAACTTGTGAAAGTTTCAATTTGACAAATCAAACTGGGGCTGCTTGACAAATTATTGTGAAATGTAGAAGAATGCAACGAAATGTGCAACACAGGGCCAGAAGTTTACACCATCAGAACATGTTGAGAATGTTCTTAATGTATGTTGAAATAAATATTTTCATAAAGATTGATATGTCTACATTTTTACTTGTATTGCTTCAGCAGCAGCAGCACGGCGGTGGCACAGTGGTCAAAGTTCGTATAGCACATTTCATTTATGCAGCAGATATTCAAGAAAAAATATTGTGTGATTTGAGTAATGGGGGCCCGGTGCCCCAGCAGAGCTGTGTGTCTAGCAGCGCCCCTGTCCTTGGACAGGGTTTACAAAGTCGCATCTACATGCCTCCTTATTGAAAATCTGTGGGTGACTGAATACTTCAGATGAAGGATCGAAGGAAAGGATGTCTCGCGTGTTTCCTCGGCTCCTCTACCCTGGCATGTCATCCTTGCCTTTTCCTTCTCCTCTGTGTAACCGCCCCATCACGGGGCTGCGCCTGCTGGCAGAACCTTGGATTATGGTACGGAACCAGCGTTT